ACACAGCTGGAAATCTACAGGGAAAAGACAAACCAAAATATTTTGTTGAGATATTAGACGAATTTTTTAAAAATCCCTCATTTATTGTTTTCAGCTCTGTCTTTTCCCACAGGCAAGTAGGAATAAGGCACTGTCCCTTCCAGTCATTCTCCTTTCCTTACCACTGATACCAGTAGTATGCTTTCCCACTGCAAGAGGGAACAGATGTCACCTGGGAATCTTTAGGGGGTGGCAAGGGAAAAACTGTTTTCTTTCTTTAATGGTATGTGTCCACAGTGAGAACTCTGTGCTTATCAAACTTCTTTGCTGAGGCTTCTACTGAAGATGTGAAGGATTTCAGATTTCTGTCATTTATCTCTTGTGCTGTCTTCTGCTCTGTGTACATAAATTCTTCCACTGTTGTAATTGGGAATTCTGTAAATACATAAAGAGAGGTGAGCCAGATTCTGCCATGGAGGCCTTATTATTCATGTACTCCCCTGTAATTTGAATAGAAATATTGTGTAATGTGTATTCAGGAAACACTGTATTGATTTCAGTAGGTGTCATGCAGGAATCATGTAAGGAATCACGTCCAAAAATAAACTTATTTTTGGAGATGGCATCTTTAAAATTGTGTTCTGGTATGTCAGGAATCACTTTACTGTGACTGCAGCTGACGTTTCAAGTGAAAATAATAGTCCATACAAAAGTCTGGTGAAGAGCAGAAATAAACAGAATTCCAGACTCTGTATGTCACAGAAAAACACAGAGAAAAGTTCTGAAGGCAGACAAACAATGTAGAACACGTCTACACTAGTGATAATCCTGTATTCAGAATGACAGGTCACTTGTCATATGAGTTGAATAAATTTTGTTTGTAATTACTGCATAGTAGGTTACTCCTGAGAGAGTCAATAGGAGGCAAAAAGGAACTTGAAACCAAGTTTGAGGTTAATTAATTCCTCGAGTTATTTGGCAGTCATTTGGCTTTGTGGTTTTATAAAATATACTAAACTAAATCAAAACCAGGACACAATCTGAGTGAAAGCTAAGAAGAAAAACTGAATCTACCTATTATCATCATCGTCGTCATTCTTTACACATATGTGAACACCTATACAGTGAAATGCAGGCACAAACATTGGTTTTCTCCCATTGCTAAAATCCCTGCAAACTGAATGATGATGGTGTAGCTTCTGATTTTAAGTAGATCACAGAACAGAGGCGGATGGATTAACTGAGATTTCAGGCAATACTAAAGCATGCAATGAGGCAATGTTTGATAAATTAACAGAAACGTAATCTTGACAGATTTCTGCTCTGTTACAACTCTGTTCTGCTTCTGCAGAGTTCTACCTATGACCAGCTTTTTCATACCTTCACCAGTGGTACTTGGCTACCTTCAACAGCAGCTCCATCTGGCATCTGAAGTAAAACTACTGTAATGACAATATACAAAATCTGCTAATTTTCTTTCAATTCTGTGTTCTGTAGCTCTCACGAAGAAGACTATTTTTAAATTTTTTTAGAGGATTCCTCATGGGTTTGTTTGAGAATTTGGTAAAGACCTCTCACGAATTAATGAAACCACATCCAGTGTTTTTCTGTCTGAGAACAAGTATGAACAAATGCATTCTGTGGCTAAAATAAACTGCTGACGTGCATAATGTTACACTGGTCAGATCAAAAGCTATGCAATCTATGTGGTTGTTTCCTGATTCCCTTAAATTGGATGGAATTATGTGGAAGAGAGAGAGGTTCACAGTCTTTTGTATGGGATACATTAACTGAGCAATAGAGTATCTTGCAGGAATTTTTTTTTTTTTTTTTTTTTTTTTTTTTTTGAAAACTAGGGAGAGTGAGACTCCAGGGTGGCAAGAATGAGTTTGAAGGTACAGTGGAGGTTTATTTGAATGGAATCTGGGGAACAGTCTGTGGGAGCCATTGGGACAATGATGATGCAACAGTCCTATGTCGACAGCTTGCACTTGGGTAAGTTTCAGTCTGAGTAAAAATCAGTCAACTTATTTCAATGATGTTTCAGTACAAAGGGCAATCTATTTTGCAAATCCTGAGGGCTCTTTGTGTTTGGTGATTGGTTTTTCTGTTTAAAGTTGTTGAATGCTGAAGTTGTTCTTCCCAGAACCCTTCACTTCCTTCAATTGCATTGTACTTCAAAGAGGTTGCTGTGAGAATCAGTATTTCATTTGAAAGCTGCATGTGGGATGTAGAGGGGAGCAGACCAGGCTAGAAACTATCCCTTCCGAGTGAAAAGTGTGGACAGGTCAGAAAAGCGAACAAAAACTACTTTACTAGACCTCCAGGAGATGTCCACAAGGGCAGAAATATGAGGTCTGATCTGATCTCACTTGTGGAAGTGTCAATTAAAACAGCTCCAGTGAGGTTACTGAATCTATAAAAGTGTAAATATGTCCAGAATTAGGCTCTATATGGGCTCCTGATCATAGGAAAATTCCTATGATAGGAGCATTCATTCCACCCTGCCAAAAAACATCTGGGACTCATCCTAGGTTTCTGGAAAACATGGCATTTTTATTATGCACATCATCTAGTTAGATAATCTGTGTGGTTTACTTTCAGAGTTGCACATTGACAACAAAACCCAAATAAACCAGACAAGTTTTGTAGCTTTACATTTCCATGGCAACGTTTTACAGAGTTACAGTTACTGTAACTGGACAGGTTGAAAGTCCCTGCATTGTCCTCATTGACCACTATTTCCCTCTGCTGTTGGAATGGAGTTAATCAGGATCCTTTAACATAATTAGTTATTAAACTCTAGAGAATGCCTATAGTGATACTGCAATTGCAGTAGTAAGATAAAACTGAGGTAAGGAAGAAAACGCCTATGCCCAAAGGTTGTTTAAAAAATAAAATGCAATCTCAGCTTCTAAAACATTAATGGTTTTCAAGTTAGCAACCAAATTACTTGAATATACCCCTTAGCATCTCATTCATTTTGCACTTTCTCAATAAGCCACAAAGTATCACTACCTTTATTGCATTTCTAACATTTCTTTCAGTCACATACCAAAGTAGTAGTAGTGATTTTGTCTGCTACAAGCTGCTACATTCCTAATGACTATTCTACTGTTTAAGACTGCTTGTCAGAACTAAATCTAAACTGTTGTATAATGTTCAATACTAATCCGGACACACCATGCCAATTCATGAAATATGAGGATTAGACGAGATAAAAGTTCAGCCATCTGGAAGCTGTGATTTTACTTATGACTTCAGCTGTCTATGTGCAATGTCTCCTTTCCTCATTTTTATGTAAGTTCTTTTTGCCTTCCATACCCTAAACATTTCGGTTGACCACCACCCCTATTAGCAAAAGTAGTTCAGTGCTACAGGTGAGTGGTTTGCTTTTTTCAACAGAAATGGCTTAAATCTCAATTGAGGCCAAAAAGCCACAGGCATGCACTAGCTGAAAGTTTCTGTTACCATGAGTGTTTGGCAGGAATTCAGATCTATATCCCACACGATAAACTCGCTAGGTGTTATTGGTGTCTTTCAGGTGCTTCCATCTATTCATTTGCTTCTAAAATACTTGGGTTTTAGTTTTAATTTAATCTTGTTAATTAAATTAAACTTTTTAATTTGGCATTATATTCAAGAAAAGATGGCTGAATGATTGTCACTGTAGGTTCAGTATGGGAAGGAAAAGGAAGCTGTTTATTCTGGATGGGAATGGCCAAATAGAGAATAATTGATATGGGCCTGATGTAATGGAGTATGAGGTGGTTTCAATGCCCCATGGTCACAACTGTATTATATGACATGTGTATGGGCAGAGCACTGGTATGTTTTAATGGAGTAAAGGCGAGGATAAGCGTCAAAGGCCCATCAGCATTACCTCTCCTGGCAACTGCAGTGGGATGGTACTATAGTTTGACCTAGGGACTGTGGACTCCATGTTGATTTTTGTAGTTAGGAATTGTGAGAACAGGAATGTTGCTGGCCCTGCAGCAACAGAGGCCATTGTACTAAAATATCCCACAACAAAATAGTGAGAACTGGGTCACATCTGTTACTTTTCTTCATATAGAAGACAATGTGGAACTGTATGAAAGTATGATGAATTTACACTGCTGAAGAAAGCCTTTTCTTCTCCAGGATTTATAGACAAGAAAATGTTCTACTTCCACTCCTCCCACTCTAATGTCTTATCCTGATTATTTTTCTGACAGTGAAAAAGGTACAGCAAAACATGTACCATTTTCTGGACTGGGCCTTACCCCTGTTTACTGGAATGAAGTGCGTTGTCGTGGTGATGAAGAAAATATATTGTTATGTGAAAAAGACATCTGGCACGATGGAATGTGTCCTCAAAAAATGGCAGCTGCTGTCACATGTAGCTCTTCCCTGGGTAAAAGAAACCTTACGCTTTGGTTACTTCCTTACCTTATTTAAATAGAAGTAGTAGTAATTACTCATTATTAAATTAGAAAATATATTAAGACTTCTTGCAACAGGAAATTAAACAGATTGTATCATTGCATCATTACCTGTTTCAAATCCCTCTATGCTATGCAAGCCTCAACTAGCTGAACTGCTTTTTACCTTTCCATAGTCAACAAGGAAATTGTAGCTTTGAGATGTAGGTTGTGAGAAAGGGTGAGGCAGCAGGAACCTCCTACTGTAAAAGTAAGATTCTTTCCCCGCACATATTTTTTTTTTTTTACTTTTACAGGTTATTCATTTATTTACCCAGAGGGTGTCTTTGATAGCTACACACGCTACATGTCAATTTGTTAGCTTTTCTTGAGCAGTAGGGAGGAGCAGCAATTTCACAAACAGATGATGCCTTCTCCTTTGGTACAGAGTGTTGGGATGACATTACTTCCTGTGAACGTGGCTGACACTGCACACAGAGCTATAAAGTTTTTGCCCTATTCTGCATACATTTAAAAAAAGTCCAAGTCTTTCTAGCTTAAGACTGCTACCATACACATCACTCCCACAAGTCAAATTGATATTCTTAGAAAAAAAGTATTATTATTGTTTTTAAGATATGTCAGATTATTTTAATCAATATGCTAAACAGCAGCTAAACAGGTAATTATGTCATCAGATTTAAGATCCTGCTGCCCTTGTGGAAGGCTAGGCTGGTAGTGCTGAGGAGCTGGCAATGCCAGTCTCTTCTGCTGTAACCAAAACATGGATGGCCACAGTTAGTTCTATGCTGCCTTTCCTCTCATACTTACGTTCCATTACTTACTGCCAAAGGCAGATGCATTTTTATCCTAAAGCACCACTATTCATGAAGAATATTTTGATAAATGACTTCTAAAAAATCATTTCAGTCTTAATTGAGAAAACTATAGTATGGAGGGGCAGGAAAATCTTTCTAAACTAGCAGATGAGTTGAAGGACCAAAGCAAGAGAAATAGTTTTGCTTAAAGACATTGAAAACAAGAGATTTGCGAATTATACTTTTAGATTATAAGGTTTTCCTTCTGTTTATGGATATTTTCATCAGAAAACTTTGGTTTGCTTAGGTAAATTTATTAAAGGACTCTTGTCTGTTTCAGTAATGCCGAAAGAAAGTTTACCAGTAATGTAGAGTCCAGGATATTGGAAATAAATTAAACTGATCCCAAGTTTCAGCAGACTAGATGAAGCTTTCATGTTTTGAAGGTTTTACTGCAACTAGAAGCCTTTTTAAGTAATTACAAATGCCCTCTCTTTTTTTTAAGCCAAGAAATAGATGAAATAGTAGCATTAATTGTTTGGAAGGCCTACAAAAAACCCCAAAAAACCACATTTTATATCATTCAGATGTTAGGTATGGTGAAACTTTAAAATAACCTTTCAAATAATATACCAATTATTTTCCATATGGTTTTAAGCTGTTGCATTATTATAACTTTATGCAGAAGTGATCGTTTCAAGACAATTTCTTGCTGGACTAGGAAAGGGCTAAGGGTTTGAAAAGACCAAAAACCAAACCGTATCTCAGAAACAGAAGGGAATAAATTGAGACCCCACAGTCAATGAGATGTCACTGCTCTGACTGGAATTACCAAAGAAATGAGAAAACATGAGGATGAATTCCTACTTCTGTGGTAATGAAAGAATTTTGGCCTCTTAACTTCCTATTTTACCCCTTGGGACCAAGCCTATACAGAGCCAATTTTGCTTGTACTGGTAGAAATTCAGCTCTAACTGACTGATTGTAGTATTCGGCCTTACAGCCCTAAGTACCTGTGAACATTCTGACCCTTAAGTAACTCAAGATCAGTATGGGTTACTTGTCTGTAAGCATAATATTCTTCAGCTGCTGAAGAGTGGCACTAGGGGAACTAATTTCTAAGAAGTTCAATCTCAGGTTTTCCATCTAACAAGAAAAAAAAGTGTGGTTCTTGAGGGATGTCAGAGAAACCATTAAGTGATATTTTTTCTTTACTATCAAGATAACATTTTGAGGAAAATATGACCTTTTCCTATATTCTATGTTTGATCACAGCCCCTGTCTTTACTCCAATCCGGCTGGCTGGTGGGAACAACACTCACGAAGGAAGAGTAGAAGTCTACCATGCTGGCCAGTGGGGGACTGTCTGTGACGATCAGTGGGATGATGCAGATGCTGAAGTTGTCTGTCGGCAGCTTGGCCTTGGGTTTGTTTTTCTACATAATTTCTCCTCCAGCAGCAAAGCAGGAGAGTTAGTCAAATATACAGTTTGGAGTTGTCAAAAGATACTCCTTTAAAATTGCACTAATACTTTGAAGCAGTAACTACGTTTATTTATAGAAGGTTCAGGCACAGCACCATTACTTTCAATTCCCTGGTACTCTGATTTATAGGAGGCAGTTTTCAGTGTCAATCAGGGGTAATTTGTCTGTAAACCAGACAAAAGATGTGTCTGAGAATAAATGCTAGCTTTTTAGTGAAAACGCACTACAATTTCAGTAAAGTTTCAATCCAAAACTGTAGGTAAAAAAAGCAAGTTCCTTTGATTATTAAAATCCTTACATGCATTCTACTCAAAAGTCTAACAGCCTCCTTGCTTTGGAGTAAGAGCACTGCTTTGACAGAAAGGATATGTTTTTTGGCATGCCTGTGAGAATTTCTCAAGATTTGTTTAAGTCACAAGTCTCTGAAGTATATGTCACTTTGCATATACTGAGTAGAGATCTATTTGAATTTTTGACAGTTAAAACTTAATCAGTGTTTCTGTCTGACTAAGCATGGTCCATGATAGAGTCACAGCAGCTGAACAGGACTTTCTTGTTCCTCTCTGGGGAGCAAAAAAAGGTCACCCTCTGGGGACGATTTTGATACCACACAGAAGGTAGGTATTCAATATTTGAGGAAAGATGCTTTAGAAGTGGGAGGCAAAGAGGAGAACTGCTGTGTCAGAGAGGAATGAGATGGGGACAACTGGGATGAAAGACTATATGGGTTGAAGAAGGAAAGAACTAGGAGCAAGACGCCAAGAAGATACTAAGATGTATCGTAAGGAGGAGAAGGGAATTATATCTGAGACAGACTGGAGGAGAACAAAGCAGGTAAGTGCAAAGGAGACTGGAAAAGAACTCTCCTGTTCAATGCTGCTGGGATTATGATGAATTAAAAGAAGTGGCACTGAAGGTAGAAAGTTTTGTGGCATTAGATGGTGGCCCCTAGAGTGTACTTGTTTTGTAATGTGCCACTGAGGCCTTGGACTGCTGATGCCAACCAAATTAGCTTAAAAAGGATGAGAACAGTGCACTACTCCAAAAGCTCCTACATCTCCTGGGAATCTACATACTCCTCTGACACCAGATTTTCATTTTCCCCTGGTTTATTTTATACTATATTTCTATATTCCTGTATATTTTCAATTGGGAATACCAAACAGAAAGTCTAATTATCTTACAGCCTTTTTCTGCTCCTGAATTGGGCCACTATTAATAAGTTTGGTGATTTACTAAGCTATGCCTTATATTTCTGTATACTAATGACAAATGTCATGCTTTTAACCTGCCTCCTTACTTATTATACTAAACCATCTGATTGCTTCTATTTAATGTTCATAAATTGCTGTTCTGAGAAGCTTCTAGTTTGATTCATTTTTCTGAGTAAATAAATTGTATTAAGATGGTGCAAAGTTTTTTTGAAATATGTATAGACATTTACAGAATTTCTCAAGTAATCAACATGTCTTGACAAACATGCTCACTATGTGAAGTGAAATTTTGCCAACAGTGGCAATAGACCAGTTATGAAGCAATAAAACTAATCTATACTTACATACTGTTAATCCATCTGGAAATGTGCTACAAATTGTAAAAATAAAGCATCTCAGTAAGTAGCTTCCCACACCCTTCTCTTTTTTTAATAAATTCCAATTTTTTTAAAATCCTTCTTGACATTGATGAATGAAAAAAAATCAGTGCAAGATATTTTAGTATGTTATTTGGAATTAGGAAGATAATTCGGAAGAAAAGGTATTATCTCACGAAAAATCTCTCAAGAATAAAGTACTAACTTCAGACTGAAGCTACATGTTTAGCTAAAATAATTCCT